ATTTAAAGAATCTCAGATTCACAACTGTAAAATAGGGCTAATTACCTGCTTCACAAAGTTATTGCAAACATTAAATGAGATAGCCCAAGCACAGCGCTTGACATATAGTATGTAGTTTTTTCCCCTCTTCCTGTAGTCCTTGAACCTTTTGAATTGCTATTGTTTAATGTCTCCCCCCACCCCCCTTCTGTTTTGGGGGTTCTCTTTACTGAGATGTTGCCAGACACTTATAAATCCCTTCTAAGTGTGTGGAAATTTTTTTTGGTATGTGCATACGAGCAGTTTTTATTTTTTGAGAGTGAGTAGGTTCATGGCTTTCTTCAGATTCTTAAAGAACTTCATGATTCCTTCCTCCCATTGTCACTACCATGTGACAGAATTAAAAACCACTGCCTCAGAGTAAGTATTATTACCGCTAATGGTATCTCAGTAGTCTGGCCAAATTAAGTGAGCCTGATAGAGGTTATTAAAAAAGAAAAGACAAATTTCAGCCTTTTGATTTTTTGCTGCTATCTTGATGTTGCTTACATTAAATCTTTCAGCTTTATCCTCAAATGTGATTGTATTTTTTAAAAACAGTTTTTGCTGTTGATGAAAATTTAAGTATTAAAAACTAAGGGCATATATAAAATGAGATGATTTATAATACTTAATGCCCATTGAGTGGGGCTTAAGTTTTTCATTATGAAAAGAAAAAAGATTTAGGAGGGATCCTTTGATAATATATATGCTTTACAAGTATATCACATATTTGAGTTAAAATAATTTGGCTTATAAGGAAACTTTTAGAAGCACATCTCACATAAATTGAGTTATACCTACATTGTTTTACCTGGGTACACTGTGGATGTACAATAACAACATTTTAGTGTCTGTTATGGACAGGGACACTATGATTTTCCCCACTGCTTCTACTAGAGAAGAAGTGTTAGAGACCTCAGATCTCAGTCTAGGAGGTACCATACCGTAATGGTTATGATTCATGTCTGGAGCCAGACTTACTAGGTTTCAAATCTCACTCTGTCACTTACTGTGTAACCTTGGGCAACCTTACCCTCCTTGTGTCTCAGTTTTTACAACTATAATACTTGGGTAATAATAATGACTCAGTAGGGTGCTACTGACATCTGTGAATTAAATGAGGTTTTGGTGTTTTGTTTTTTTTGGCAACAGTATTACTCATTTTACACACGACTAAATGAGTTAATATTTGAAAAGTTCTTAGAACATAGCCTGTTTCATTGTATGCACTGTGGAAGTATTAAGTAAAAGTATGTAATCTAGTTAACAGAATACTTATATCCACAAAAAGATAACTTATACTACAAGAGGTATATGCAGATTAGCTTCCCTAAATTTTTCAGGATAGAGAAATTTAATGTGGATTGTATGTGTAGTATAAGAAAACTTGAAAATTCACGGAAGAAGAGTAGAGGTCATAAGCTGGATTTAGATAGGTGGAATTCAGATAGAAAATAAAAAATAGGCCCAAATTAGAGGAGAATTTTATGAACAGAAAAATTGGAGGGAATGTAAATAGGCCATATATTAATATGTTGGAGTGTAAGTAAAGAAATATTGTAAGCTATCCAAGAATGATAGATGTGAACAAATTGTGGAGGTCTTTGGACACAAAGATAAATAAGGCTTTGGGACTCAATTTGTAGATGGGGGCTCCCCAACTTTTATAAAGGAGCAGCTTACGAATGATTCTGTAAAAAGTGCTTAGCACAACACTTGGCAGAAAATAGGCATTAAATAAATGCTAACCATTATTAGCAGTAGTAAAAATGACTGTGCAGTATTTTACTGCATGGATGAACCATATTTGTGTATTTTTAAGTCATTACCTATTGATGAATACTTAGGTTATTTCATTGTTTTTGTTTTTCCTTATAATCAATGCTGCGATGAGCACTCTTTCCATAAAATTGTTTTGTATATCCATGATTCCCAAGGAGAGGCTTAAAATTGTCCTTTAAACTTAATCATAGGAGGGTGGTGGTAAGTTTCAGATGGGATGGTAGAAAGGAAATGAGGGAGCTTTACCAGCTCTAATGCACTCCCCTCTGCTGAAAAATTCTTGCATTGTTATGACAAAAAAGTTATGGTATTAGCTGCCAGCAGGGATCTTGTTCAAGCACATTTATTAAAAATGATAACTTATTAGGGAACCTTCCTATGAGTTGTAAGATTTTTTTTCTAACAGGGAAGCTTTAGGAAGATAATTAGGCTTGCAGAGCAGAGTGTGAGGTCAGACCAGAGGTGTTTACATTATGACACAATATAAGACCAGTATTTGTAGAATTCCAGAGGAAATATGAAGACTAGGCTTCGAAGGTTTTTCTGGGGATATGTACTGACAAGGAGGAAGAAGATATTTCTAAGGTTCTAAACTTTAGTGACTGGGAGAATGTGATAAAATGTTAAAGTTGGAATGGAAAACCAATTTTGGAGGGGAATTAGTTCAATTTTAAATATGTTTGAAAAAAGAGAGGCATTGAAGTTGACCTATCCATTACATAGTTGAATAAGATTCAGATTTTGAGTTTCTTCTATATGGCATTGATATTGAAACCATGAAAATGATTGAGTTCAAATAAATTACACAGTTAGTAATTGGCAAAGCTGAGATTCAAATCCAAAGTTCTGCTCCAAAGTTCATGTTCTTAGCTCCTATACTATAACGAGAAGTCCTTGGTTCACATTAGTTGTCATAACATTTTTTTGATTTTCTCATTTTCCAAGTTGTTTCTGTTGCTGTTTTGCCATTTATTTTTTACCCTTTTGTGTACAATTTTTATTTAATAAAATATCTTGAGTATGGCTTGGGCCTTGAAGGCAAACATTCCATATTTGATCCTAGCTCTGCCGTTTATATCTATTTGTGGCCTCCTTAGTTAATCACTACATCCAGTGGCCTTTTCTTAGTTCCAATTTTCCTTGGTGTGCCCACAGCAAAAAGTGCTTCCTGAAATCTAGGTTTCTTCTTCAGTAATTCACTCTCCTAGCCTTTTCTCAGTTTTACCTTCTTTCTTTGTACTTTCTTCTTCTACACAGATATACCTACATATGACTATCTCTGTATAGCTCTGAATTCAGCTTTCTGTTCCTTTTTTAAGCATGTCAGATAACTCTGGATTCTGAGTATATGTCCTCTTCAATAACTCTTTTTTTTTTTTTTTTTTTTGGAGACAGAATCTCACTCTGTTACCCCAGCTAGAGTGCAGTGGTGTCATCATAGCTCACTGCAACCTCAAACTCCTGGGCTCAAGTGATCCTCCTGCCTCAGCCTCCCAAGTAGCTGGGACTGCAGGTGGACACCACCACACCTGGCTAATTTTTCTATTTTTTGCAGAGATGGAGTCTCACTCTTGCTCAGGCTGGTCTCGAACTCCTGACCTCAAGCACTCCTCTTGCTTCGCTCTTCAGTAACTCTTGATTCTGTTTTCTCTTTCCTATCTTCATTGTCTCAGTTTTTGTTTTTCTTTCCAACTTTGTAATAGCCTGCTTTCTCCCAGGTCTAGTCCTGTCCTTTCTAGTTCAGCCTCCCCTCCTATCCCAGAGTCATTCTCTTGAAAATATGTATCTTCTATTTTTTCCCCATTGCTTAAAACCTTTCAGTGATTCTCCATTGTCAATATTACTATTTCTTGACAGCTATTCCTTAGGATGAATTAGGTATTTCTCCAGGGAAAAAGAGGTCAAATAAGTTTGGGAAATGCTTGTATAAAAGCTGTTAGCCAGCCTTCCTTTGGGCAGAATTTTGACGTGCTAATGTTCATTGTGAATGTACAAAGAGCAATATATAGCATTTCCCAAATATACCTGACCGTAATGTGCGTATATATGTGTATTTTTTAATATATGTCTTGTGCATTATACATGTCTCTGAATGGTTTTATTAAGACCCACAAGGTAAAGTCTATACTTCTAGACATGAAATTCTAGGACCTTTTCGATTCAGCCTTTGCCTGTCTGTGTAGTCTCATCTCTGGCATTGACCATACCAACTTGGAGTTCCCCATTGCGTGGGGTCATGTGTTTTAGGCTTCAGTGGCTTCACCCATCTGTCAGGAAAAACCCTTACTATTCCTAAAGAGGAGATCATTACCTTTTCTCTGAAGCCGCCTTTGACTCATCCAGGCAATCATTACATTTCCTTTCTCAGCACTAAATATCATAGGGAATTATAATTCTCTTTCTATTTTATTTCTCTAATACAGAGTATAAGCTCCTTGAAAGCTGGAACCACATCCTTTCATATCTGTGACATTAGTATTTAGAACAGTTATTAAATATATGTTAAACAATTGAGTTATAAAATAATTGCAAGCCAGGTGCAATGGCTCATGCCTGTAAGCTCAGCAACTTGAGAGGCTGAGGTGGGAGGATCACTTGAGGCTAGGAGTTCAAGACCAGCCTGAGCAACATAGGAAAACCTCATCTCAAAAAATTTTTTTACATAATTAGCTGGGCATGGTGGTCCCAGTTGCTTGGGAGGCTGGGGCAGGAGTTCAAGGTTCCAGTGAGCTGTTATCTCGCCACTATACTCCAGCCTGGGTGACAGTGCAAGGCCCCATCTTTAAGAAAAAGTAATAATAATAATTGCAAAACCATTTTGAATAATATTGATATTCATACAGTAAGTAAACACTTCCTTTATTTTAGAAATTTGTTAAAATTGATTAGTAAAGTAGCATCAAATTAAATGCTCTAGGAAAAATTTTGTTCCACATATATAGGGAAAAAAAACTAAGAAAAAGTACTTAGTATTTCCTGTTTATTTTTTATAACTTGTGTTCATAAAACAAGGTTTTTTTAGATGAAAATGTAAATAATGTTCTGTCTTCGATTAAAATGTTTGATCATTAATTTAAAACTAAATAATTACTTTTTCAGATAAGTTTTACCTTGAGATGTTTCGTTGATCTGTATTTGTTAGGATAAGGAACATTATTTTATATGAAACATTGTTTAATGTATATTTCTCTTCTTAGGCATCATTCTTAACAAAGAAGTTAAATATTGGCGGGAAAAGAGTAAACCTTGCCATATGGGTAAGTTAACCTTTTCAACTAAATAAGTAGAGGCCTTTACCTATTCTTGATGTCCTAATAACTAATTGACTCAAGGAATAGGAATTTGAATTTCTAATTTTTTTTTAAGTTAACTGAAGGCTAGCCAAAAAAAATTTTTTTTTAATAAAAAGAATTTCCTGGCCGAGCGCGGTGGCTCACGCCTGTCATCCTAGCACTCTAGGAGGCCCAGGTGGATGGATCGTTTGAACTCAGGAGTTCGGGACCAGCCCAAGCAAGAGCGAGACCCCGTCTCTACTAAAAAATAGAAAGAAGTTACTTGGACAGCTAAAAATATATAGAAAAAATTAGCCGGGCATGGTGGCGCATGCCTGTAGTCCCAGCTACTCAGGAGGCTGAGGCAGAAGGATTGCTTGAGCCCAGGTGTTTGAGGTTGCTGTGAGCTAGGCTGATGGCGATGGCACTCTAGCCCGGGCAACAGAGTGAGACTCTGTCTCAAAAAAAAAAAAAAAAAATTTCCTAAAATTTGGTGAAGAATACTATTTGGAATACAATTGTATATTTGAATATTGTTGTCATAACTTTTCAACTGGAGAAGGGTCAATTGAGAGGGATTCCACTTCTGAGAGAGGACAGGGTGGGTGGACAGCCTACCTGGCCTTACTTTGCCCCCGTGTCTCCATGTTCTCGCCTTCTAAGGGAGTGGCCGGTGGAGAGTAGGGTGAGGGTAATGCAGTAGGATACTTGTTGGCGGGTGGTCCTGGTGTGTGCTGTCTTTCCTTGTCTGTTCTCCCTGTGTGGGGTACCTAAAATCCTGGCTTATAATGTGGTGTTGGCCATTCTGACCGTCTGGCAACTGAACTGGTTTTGTAGTGGGAGTGGGGAGGTTGATGAGGAGAGGAGGGTTGGGAAGGAGAAAGTAGCCTTTGTATGTGAGTAAAACATTACCTATTGGTTATAACTTGGTTTGAATTTTTTTGTTTGTTTGTTTAGGGAACTTGTTTCTTTTAACAGTGTTTTGGGGTTATCTGTGACCTTATGCCCTACTTTCCAGTTAATCAGAAATTCATTGTAATTGCAGTAGCAGATGTATATTTTTCTTCTAATCTAATAAGCATTTGTTACTTTATTTAGGATACAGCAGGTCAAGAGAGATTCCATGCGTTGGGTCCAATTTACTACAGAGATTCAAATGGAGCTATTTTAGTTTATGATATAACAGATGAAGATTCTTTTCAAAAGGTATTCTGGTTACTTTACGGATACATGATTTAATCAGAAGAACAACACTGATTTTTCAAGTTTCCATTAATATACCTTTGTTCACTAATGTGATTAGTTTTGTTTTTTAAAGTAAAGTATACGGTTTGTACATAAATGGGTCACTCATTTTTTAATATAGTATTTAATTCATATTATTTCATGTTAGAGTAATTATTGGTTTATTGCATGGCTTTCTCAAATATTAAGAAAGGGAAATAATTAGAGTTAAGCTTCAGAAAAATACAGGGCTTTGTTTCTCCCTCTTAAAGAAAAACCAATCACATTTGTTTGATTCCATATATATTGGATACCTGAAACCTTGGTGTGGCTGCACAGGCTCCCTTTTTGTGAACAGAAAAATGGGAGAGCAAAATCAAGTTAATGAGGCAGGAGGATCATTTGAGCTCAGTAGTTCGAGACTAGCCTGAGCAAGAGCAAGACCTCGTTTCTACTAAACATAGAAAAAATTATCTGGGCATCAAAAAATAGAAAAAAAAAAATTAGCCGGGTGTGGTGGTGTGCGCCTGTAGTCCCAGCTACTCGGGAGACTGAGGCAGGAGGATTGCTTCAGCCCAAGAGTTTGAGGTTGCTGTGAGCTAGGCTGACACCGCAGCACTCTAGCCCAGGTGACAGAGCAAGACTCTGTCTCAAAAAAAAAAAAAAAAAAAAAAAAAAAATCTAAGCTCATTCTCCTAACTAAATATCCTGGAAGATATAATATAAATTTTAAAAGGACAATCTAGGTTATGTCATATTTTAGAGTTCCTTCATTTTTTACTCCTCTTCAAACATACACCACAAATACAGATTTTTAAAATTGTTTGGGACCAAAAATGAATTACCATTTAACTTAACTCTGAATTCTCTTTGCAGTCAGGATGGGTTACTTATTTGACCTTTCCTCCTAAAACCCTTCTTGGAATAAATTTGTCAGTAATGTGTAACCAAAGCTTTTCTTGCCTTGAGTTACGGGGTTTGTTCTTGTATAAATTATTTGCCTTTTTAGTTTAGTTTTTGTTTTTCTCTTAATTCTCTGCCCCCTCCCCCATTTAAATTTGATGGAGCAGATACACAAGTTAGCCCTTGGACTATTAATGATACATGGAAAAACTTAGTCCAAGGAGTAGAAAAATGAAGCAGTATGTAGGTTGCAGATACAATGATAATTGAAAGTTATTTTGAGGCTGCTGTTTGGTGTTATTTGCTATCCCCCCTTGGCTTTTTGCATAAAAAGAAATAGTTTAAGTATTTTATTGATTAAGAGAATTAGATCTTTTAGATTGGAAAGTGGCGAGTTATCTATTGCCACATAACAAAACCCACAAAACTTGGTGGATTAAAACAACAATTTATTATTTCTCACGATTCTGTGGGTTGGCCAGGCAGGTCCTCTGCTCTGTGTGGTATCAGTGGAGTTCAGTGTAGCTGCATTGAACTGGGAGTTTGGGGCTAGAATGTCTAAGAAGGCCTGGTTCTCCTCCATATGGCCTCTCACTACTGGTGTCTTGTTCTCCATTATTCTCTGCATTTGTTCTCTCATTATTCTGTATGCCAGCCTAAGCTTTTTATATGACAACTGGATCCCAAGAGTTAAAAGTGAAAGCTACCAGACCTTCTTACAGCTGAAGTCCGGGACATGGACAGCATTACTTCTGCCACATTTTCTTGGTCAAAGCAAGTTACAAGGCCAGCCCAATTCAAAGGGTGGGGAATTCGACTCTACCACTTGATGGGAGGATTGACAAAGAATATTTCACCATCTTTAATTTACCACAAAATCTATGGGAGTAAGGAATAAGATGCCTATGGAGGGATACCTAATTGGAGATGAATAACAATTTTTTTAAAAAATTGGTTAATCGGTTGTTATACTACATGTACAGGAATAATACAGACTGAATTCTGGTGTGTTTCTTTTGAGTCGATGAGGATGTACATACTATGTCAGTACTGTCAAATTTTTCTTATGTGAAATCAAGGGTGGAAGTTAAATGCTTTGAAAACTTTATACATGTATGTGAATGAAACAAAAAGATGGGGCTGTACCAAGAAAAATGTGGTTCAGTGCTGTTATAAAGATAAGGTGGTGATAATAATTACCTTTGCTTTTATAAGGATTTGAGGTTTACTAAAGACAGTTCCTCTGCATTCTTGCAGAGAATAGGAATGTGGAACTGTTACATTTGTACCATAGGACACAGTAAGTGCATACCACGTATCTAATATCATTTTTGTAATTTATAGATGTGTGTGTATTTTTTTATGAAGGTATATAAATTCTATGTAATTTGATTACATACAGATTGAATTCCATTGCAAAAAAATGAAAGCAGGTGTCCCAGTTTTTTATCCTATTATTTTATTGTAATCAACATATTTAAAATCAGGAGTTTAAAACATTAATTTACTTAATTCTAGTTTACTTCCAACTGTGCCTACTGCTATGCTTCATTCATAGTGGAGAATCAGTTTGTAAGAGAAACCATCGTACACCAGCGGGATAGCAATGTCTGGGGAGATCTTTGGTTGTCACAACTGGAGGGGGCTACTGGTACCTAATGGGTAGGAGGCCAGGGATACTGCTAAACATCATACATTGCACAGGATAAGTTCTCCACAACAGATTTATTTGAGGCATGATGTCAGTATTGCCAAGGTTCAAATACTCTGTCATGTACTAAATAATGAAAATTTATTTTGCCACTCTTGTTTTTGGTGCCCATATACCTCTTTTTTCTTTTAAGAGTATGGCACAGAAACTCCTATATCCTCTCTTTAGGAACCAAATAGGATATAAATAGGGTACGAAAAGACTATTTTAAGCCCATGTGTTCTTGACTGCAAAGAACAGATACTATATAAGCATCTATTATCAGAGGCTGGAGTTGACATGTTTTTGCTCTGGTGAATAGCTTTGCTTGGATCTATGGAAGATTGATGAAAATTTGTATTTAGAGATGTTTCCGTGTATACCCATATGTGGATATAGAGAGAGATTCTTTCACGTGTTTATATGTATGTGGTTTGCAGTATAACATGGCAATATCAGTGGTCCCCAACGTTTTTGGCACCAGGGACCGGTTTCATGGAAGACAATTTTTCCATGGACCAGGGGGTGGGCGGAGGCGCAGCTCAGGCAGTGATGGGAGCAATTGGGAGCAGCTGTGAATACAGGTGAAGCTTTGCTTGCTTGCCCACTGTTCACCTCCTGCTGTGTACCTGCCTCCCCCGACCCCCAAGTTTCATGGAAGACAATTTTTCCTTGGGGTCGCGGGTGGGCAGAGCTCTGCAGCCTGGTCTCTGACAGGCCACAGATGGTCTGTGGTCCAGGGTTGGGGACCGCAGCAATAAATGATTTTTTGGTGATTCATTTCTAGTGATAACTAAGTATATGGGCTGTTAGACAAAATTCTGAGGTATTTTTGACAATGTTGCTTTTTTGAATGTTACAATAGTAGTAATTCAGGATTTCTTTTAATATTTGCTCTTTTGTACACACAGGTAAAAAACTGGGTCAAAGAATTACGGAAAATGTTGGGAAATGAAATCTGTTTATGTATAGTTGGTAAGCATCATTACTCTTTTTGAAAAGGTCCTTTGTTTCCTTAATGTTTTAGTAAAGACATAATAAACAAGTAATTTTTGTTTTAAAGTTATATGAGAAAGGAAGAAGAAATATTTAAATATTAAATATTTTAGATTAATTTAGGAAGATACACAAGTTAGCCCTTGGACTATTAATGATA